CGACGCCACCATTGGACGGGGGCTCCGAGGGAGAGAGCGGCTGGCTCGGCCGCGCTCCTGGCTGCAATTGGCTGCGCTTCACCCACGCCCGAATTCTGATAGGGCCACAGCGCCTTAGACCCCGCCTCCTCGCCCAAGTTCCGTTAGCATGTTCGGTTGACCACGAATTTCCTTTCGCTGAGAGTTGCAGGACCCATGGGTTGGACCGTTAGCTGGCTCCTCCCACTTCACGCATCAGCCCCTGACCCACCCGGTGGGCGGGGAGGAAACGGGCAGCTAGTTCCTCTTTTTTAGAGCTCTATTTCCTTCTGATTGGTTGATCGTCTTCGACGCTAACTGCCTCTCGGGGCTCCAGTTTTTCGTCGCGAGACGCAGCGTGATGACGTATCCCACGACATTCCACGTCCAAGATGGCCGCGGTCAGCAAGGAGAGACGTCGCTAAGAGGCTTTCCTGAAGATTGGGGTGAGTGACCGATGGACCGTGGGTGGCGCCGCCCACTTCCTGCGTACCTGGAGGTTGGAGTGCGGTATGGCTACCTGCCGCGGCCCATTGGCGAAATCTCGCGTTCCAGTTTCCGCTCCCCTCTGCTAGCCCATCGAGGGTGGAAGTCGAAGTTAGCGGGCGACGCGGGGCTGGTAGGTGGGCTTCAGGATAGGGTCGGCGGGGCTGGGGGCCTGGCAGACCCGAGAACTGGTGCCGGCTCTGTGAAGGGGACGGGCACCGTCTGGGAGACTTTCTAACAAGAGAAAGGGGTCTGGGCACGCCCGCAGCCTCGGCCCTCCCCCATCTTCCCTTTCGTTTCTTCGGGTGTCGGTCCCTATATTTTTGCGGACTGAGACTTTGGAAACTTAAGCGCAGTACTCCGACTTGGAGAACGGAGAGCTGTGTACCAAGGGTAAGAAAAGAGGAGAGGGCACTTCCGCATGAGGCTCGTTCTTGCCCAGACGTCGTCTCACCCATTCTCTACCGGGTGGTTCAGTTTGACGTATTACAGGAATTGTACTTTAGAGAGTTGAGCCGTAAAAGGTTATCTGAAAACTCTTATTAAACAATTGTCTGCACCATAGCCTCGGCAACGCACCCTAATTTGGATTGTCAATTAAGCGAAGCCTTGGCTAAGTCTTTTGGAGTTAAGAACGACTTTTAAAAGCACTTGCTTTTATATTTTTAAGGCGGACTTGGCGGTGTCTGTGTTTCCCGATAAGTGTGGCTTTATACCGATTCCTAACGGTGCTTTGCACCTGTAGACGCTCCTGAAGGTTTCTGTGAATGATGTTACTGAAAATGAAAGAGCGGAGCTTTCAATTCTGGGCACTTAGGACACTGACCTTTAGTAAACTTTATATTGCCAAACGAAAGAATGGATGAATGATAGCGTCAGCAGCATTAATAGACGTGTTGATTGAAATTATTAGTGTTCCTAAGATGCTCGTTAAATGATCTTGATTCTAAATGTAATAGCTGTCCTGGACTTTTTTTTTAAGGGAACACCGTTAATGTTTTAGAAATGTTCCACCTGGTGTCCCATTTTTATTATATTGTGATGTACTGTTGAGGCATATTGGTTGATTCCCATACAAGTCATGTTTTACATATGGTGTTTCTTGGGAAGTGTAGTTTGCGCCAAGAAGCAATAAACATAACTGTTTATGAAGTTCTTACACTTTAGATACAAGTTCTAAAATTGAATGTTATTTTTAAAAATTGACATAGTTTTGGCTGTAAATAAGCAGGTTAATGTGAAGAGGTTTAAAAAAAAAGAATCACCAAACTGAACAGTTCATTTTGTCTTTTAAAAAAAGTCATCGGACTGGTGAGATGGCTCAGTGGTCGCGGTTCAATCCCCCAGCACCACATGCCAGCCAGCCCCGCCCCCTCGTGGTCTGAGCTGGCCACACACACACACACACATAAATAAAATTTTTTTAAAAAGTCATCTTTTTGTTCTGTAGTAAAAAAGCTTAAGTACCAATTTTTAAATTGTACATTATATATGTTAATACAGTATATCAATGTATAGAATACTGCCTTAACACAAAGACAAAACAGCTAATTATATGGTGTAGTTTTAACAAAAGGAAAAAATGAATCCTACGAAGTTTTAATACCAAAATAAACATTATTTCAAAAAGTGATTTGCATTATACGGTCTTAAGTTAGTACAGATTTAAAGAAAGTGTCCACTAAAATGGAAAATAGTATACAGTAGATAAAGAACAACATCAATTACTACATTTGTGCTTTTGGTTTCTTCCAAAGTTCTCTTGGATTTATCTTAGGTAAAATTAAGGACCACAACATAATGGCCCAAAACTTCATTTTAGCGTATGAACTGTTTAAAACTGCATACAAATTTTCAGAGCAAGGGAAGACCACACCTTAAAATAGCAATATGGCATTTTTTACTTTAAATAATGACAACTTTCCAAATGTGCAGAAGAAAAAGTAGTTTTACCCATGCTCCTTTGGCTCACTGAACTTTCTCCTTTTTGGCACAGACTCTTGGCTAGAAAAATCAAAGTGATGGAAGACTCTTCCCAGATGTAGCTTGAGCTCTCTTCTTAGTTTCTTTAGACTTAACTGGTTGGTTTCCATGTGCCATGTTATTCTAAAAGACTTCCACCTCATGTTTTGCTTTCAGAAACATCAAGTTCAGATGTTTTACTAACTGTTCAGCCTGAGAATGAAAAATTGAAAGATTTGAACTTTCTTTACACCTCATAACTTCATCTTCCCCAATAATTAAATTTAGTTCTCCCATTTTAAAAGCGCCAGGTTTTTTTTTCTGTTCTTCCGTTTTAGTTTTAAAGTCAAAGTCATCATTTATATACTGTTCCTGTTCATCGTCTACGTCTTTATCCACCAGCATTTTCTCAAGTGGTGTTTTTAATTCTTTTGAAAATATCATAGTTGAATCAGTATTTTCCATTTGTTCTTTCTCAGTGGTCACTTTTACTTTGAAGGTATGAAAAGGTGTTGGGACTTCTCCTACATTTAAGTACATAGGGTCTCCTTCAAATATGAGTTCTTCACAATCACCATCCTTAAAACCAGGAGGTTGGTAATCTGGGGGTGTAACTTCATCATAGTAAAATAGTTTCATGGTCAAACAAACATCATTTGTAAAGGTCTCAGATTTGCATTAGAATATAAATGTTTCAAATGAGGAGAATACTTGCTTTCTTGGTGTCAGCAGATGATGTACTAGATTCACTGCTTTGATTTTTACTTATAAAGTCCATTATTGGTCCATTTTTGGTGTACTTGAATTTAAACTGGTAATATTCTGAAATTATCTGAGGGTCTTCTGGATTGGTGTACACAGCTAAAATGACCATCCTTGGATATTTTTTCTGTAAAGCATCATAGCATCCTAGTATCCACTTCACTAACTGTGGATCCTGGACAGTTTTTATCTTCTTGAGAATTTTGACAGAGATCATCTAGATATCTTGTTCCATAAGCACACTCTGGAAATACTCTCAGATATGTGATGCAGGATACTGAAAATGCTAGGTGCCTCTTCACTAACACCAAAGACGGCTGCTCACTTGATATTTTATTGGGAAATACCAGTGTGCTCATGGAAGTTCTCTGCAACTCTACAGTGGTCATCTTCTTCTGCGAAAGTACTTTAATTCACCGTAAAGCGTGAGGTGAGCTGTTGACGAGACAAATTGCAGGATTGAGATTATTTTGAAGCCAGTGAATTCACTTGAGTGTATTAAGAGGGAAATATTTTTGGCTTGTTTTCTCAGAAATTGGGTAAGAACAAACAAAATCAAGAAAAATTAAAGTCAAGGTAATTAAGATTATAAAGAATATCTACCTAGGTTAAATTCAATTTATATTTTCAAGGTCATATAAAATCATATGCCAGAGTAATTACTTATAAGATTGTGAAGTCTGCCAAGCATGATGGTGGACACTTGTAATTCCAGTACTCAGAGACTTGACAGGCAGGAGGATCTTGTTGAGTTTCAGGGTCAGCCTGAGTTACATAGTGAGACCTTGTCTCAAAAAAAAAAAAAAAGCAAAATTATTCTTATTTTTTGAGGACTCCTAGAAGACACTAATGATAAAAGGCTGAAGTGTGGTAAATATCTATTCTTACAAAGAGCAGTCAGATGGCTCTTAAGTGCAAGGATTTATTGAAGATCCAACTTAGAATATTATTGGGAGGACTGGAAAGGGGTCGGTGAGTACCTGGGAAAGGAGCACTGATTCCCTAAACGACAGAGCTCCAGTAAGGAAAGGTTAGGTAATGTAAATCACGTTTTCTTACTCAGCTGGATTGCTGGCATGAGTCAATTTAGGTTTCCTTAAGACGCTAAATATAATCTCTCTACCCTAATTGACACAGGAAGTAAATGTATTTTGGGTAAGATGTAGTTAGGTAGATGTATGCCCATTCATATTACTAAACCCAAAATGTTTATTAGTGGATTGGTATTAGCTTAAAGAGACTTTAGTCTTACCCTTCTAGATTAGTACTTTTTTTATTACAATGTTCAAAAATTACAGGTTCATAAATCCATGCCAACTGAGCAGTGCTAAGTGGGCACCACATTACATGACACTCTTAAGAGTTCCTAAAAGCTGAATTGAGCCAGATGTGGTGATGTGTGCCTGCGTCCAAGCCACCCAGGAGGCTGATCACAAGTTGTAGAAGGATTGAGTTGGAGGCCAGCCTCAGCAACTCAGCTTTTTTCTCAAAAAGGACAGTGGATGTAGTGTAGCACTTCCTAGGTTCTATTCTTAGTACGAAAAGAACAAAAGGGGGCCAGCTGAAAATACGGCTTCACACTGACTATAAATTAGGAGTATATTTACAAGGACTCAGCTGTACATGTTTAAGATAAGATGAGGAAAATCGTGGGGCTGGTGAGAGCTCAGTGGATTAAAGCATCTGCTTATGCAAGCTCAGGGACCGCAGCTTGATCCCCAGCACTACCTGCCACGCCAGCCCTGCCCCTAGGCACGTTGAGCAGGCCAGAGTCTAGGCGTAGTGGCACATGCCTGTAATCCCAGCGCTAGGAAGGCTGAAAGCAGAAGGATCACCACGAGTCTGAGCTCGTAGTGATACGGTGCAACAACCAAATACATTTTTTTTAAAAGATGAGGAAGATCTGTCTTAACAATGCACTTCATTTATAGACACAAAGTACTGTTTAGATTCAGGGAAAGTAATATCTTAGTCTAATGTAAGACAAATTATGGCTGTGCCACTTGCCAACTATGGCAGGTTACTTTATGTCTCTGGCTCTATTTTCTCAGTGATAAAATTGTTAAGAAAAACATAATTTCGCCAGGCGTGGTGGCATATATCTAAAATCTGGTTCTTCAGTGACTGAGATAGGACAACCATGAGATTGATGGTAACATTGGCTGCACAGTGAGATCCTGGGATGGAAAGGGGATATAAAGAGAGGGGAATATAGCTTGCTCCATGGACAAAGAATGGATGTGGACAAAGGTACTCCCCTCATGTGCTGGAGAGATCATAAAGAGTCTTTTCTTCTGTTTTTATGGTTATTATTCAGAGGTACTGTGGTGGATTAACTAATGGGCAACTTGTAACACCCAGCTGAACTCAATCAACATGGTGCTGGGTGTAGAGGACCCAAGTGAAGAT